TCACCAGTCCAGGTTCCTGATGTCAGTTTGTAGGGCTCCCCTGGGACTGTCAGAGCAGCACAAGTATGAGGTGGGGGCAGCTCCTGTCTGGGACTTATCCTTCGATGTTCGGATTTTTTGCAGTCAGCTGCCCGCTCAGGGCCACAGGACTCGGAGCGCAAACATCGGCTCTTTTCCCTGGGAAAGAAAACTCACCAGTCCAGGTTCCTGATGTCAGTTTGTAGAGCTCCCCTGGGACTGTCAGGGCAGCACAAGTATGAGGTGGGGGCAGCTCCTGTCTGGGACTTATCCTTCGATGTTCGGATTTTTTGCAGTCAGCTGCCCGCTCAGGGCCACAGGACTCGGAGCGCAAACATCGGCTCTTTTCCCTGGGAAAGAAAACTCACCAGTCCAGGTTCCTGATGTCAGTTTGTAGGGCTCCCCTGGGACTGTCAGGGCAGCACAAGTATGAGGTGGGGGCAGCTCCTGTCTGGGACTTATCCTTCGATGTTCGGATTTTTTGCACTCAGCTGCCCGCTCAGGGCCACAGGACTCGGAGCGCAAACATCGGCTCTTTTCCCTGGGAAAGAAAACTCACCAGTCCAGGTTCCTGATGTCAGTTTGTAGAGCTCTTTTGGACTCTCAGGGCAGCACAAGTATGAGGTGGGGGCAGCTCCTGTCTGGGACTTATCCTTCGATGTTCGGATTTTTTGCGGTCAGCTGCCGGCTCAGGGCCACAGGACTCGGAGCGCAAACATCGGCTCTTTTCCCTGGGAAAGAAAACTCACCAGTCCAGGTTCCTGATGTCAGTTTGTAGGGCTCCCCTGGGACTGTCAGGGCAGCACAAGTATGAGGTGGGGGCAGCTCCTGTCTGGGACTTATCCTTCGATGTTCGGATTTTTTGCACTCAGCTGCCGGCTCAGGGCCACAGGACTCGGAGCGCAAACATCGGCTCTTTTCCCTGGGAAAGAAAACTCACCAGTCCAGGTTCCTGATGTCAGTTTGTAGAGCTCTTTTGGACTCTCAGGGCAGCACAAGTATGAGGTGGGGGCAGCTCCTGTCTGGGACTTATCCTTCGATGTTCGGATTTTTTGCGGTCAGCTGCCGGCTCAGGGCCACAGGACTCGGAGCGCAAACATCGGCTCTTTTCCCTGGGAAAGAAAACTCACCAGTCCAGGTTCCTGATGTCAGTTTGTAGGGCTCCCCTGGGACTCTCAGGGCAGCACAAGTATGAGGTGGGGGCAGCTCCTGTCTGGGACTTATCCTTCGATGTTCGGATTTTTTGCAGTCAGCTGCCGGCTCAGGGCCACAGGACTCGGAGCGCAAACATCGGCTCTTTTCCCTGGGAAAGAAAACTCACCAGTCCAGGTTCCTGATGTCAGTTTGTAGGGCTCCCTGGGACTGTCAGGGCAGCACAAGTATGAGGTGGGGGCAGCTCCTGTCTGGGACTTATCCTTCGATGTTCGGATTTTTTGCACTCAGCTGCCGGCTCAGGGCCACAGGACTCGGAGCGCAAACATCGGCTCTTTTCCCTGGGAAAGAAAACTCACCAGTCCAGGTTCCTGATGTCAGTTTGTAGAGCTCTTTTGGACTCTCAGGGCAGCACAAGTATGAGGTGGGGGCAGCTCCTGTCTGGGACTTATCCTTCGATGTTCGGATTTTTTGCAGTCAGCTGCCGGCTCAGGGCCACAGGACTCGGAGCGCAAACATCGGCTCTTTTCCCTGGGAAAGAAAACTCACCAGTCCAGGTTCCTGATGTCAGTTTGTAGGGCTCCCCTGGGACTGTCAGGGCAGCACAAGTATGAGGTGGGGGCAGCTCCTGTCTGGGACTTATCCTTCGATGTTCGGATTTTTTGCGGTCAGCTGCCGGCTCAGGGCCACAGGACTTGGAGCGCAAACATCGGCTCTTTTCCCTGGGAAAGAAAACTCACCAGTCCAGGTTCCTGATGTCAGTTTGTAGGGCTCCCCTGGGACTCTCAGGGCAGCACAAGTATGAGGTGGGGGCAGCTCCTGTCTGGGACTTATCCTTCGATGTTCGGATTTTTTGCACTCAGCTGCCCGCTCAGGGCCACAGGACTCGGAGCGCAAACATCGGCTCTTTTCCCTGGGAAAGAAAACTCACCAGTCCAGGTTCCTGATGTCAGTTTGTAGAGCTCTTTTTGGACTCTCAGGGCAGCACAAGTATGAGGTGGGGGCAGCTCCTGTCTGGGACTTATCCTTCGATGTTCGGATTTTTTGCGGTCAGCTGCCGGCTCAGGGCCACAGGACTCGGAGCGCAAACATCGGCTCTTTTCCCTGGGAAAAAAAACTCACCAGTCCAGGTTCCTGATGTCAGTTTGTAGGGCTCCCCTGGGACTGTCAGGGCAGCACAAGTATGAGGTGGGGGCAGCTCCTGTCTGGGACTTATCCTTCGATGTTCGGATTTTTTGCACTCAGCTGCCGGCTCAGGGCCACAGGACTCGGAGCGCAAACATCGGCTCTTTTCCCTGGGAAAGAAAACTCACCAGTCCAGGTTCCTGATGTCAGTTTGTAGAGCTCTTTTTGGACTCTCAGGGCAGCACAAGTATGAGGTGGGGGCAGCTCCTGTCTGGGACTTATCCTTCGATGTTCGGATTTTTTGCAGTCAGCTGCCGCTCAGGGCCACAGGACTCGGAGCGCAAACATCGGCTCTTTTCCCTGGGAAAGAAAACTCACCAGTCCAGGTTCCTGATGTCAGTTTGTAGGGCTCCCCTGGGACTCTCAGGGCAGCACAAGTATGAGGTGGGGGCAGCTCCTGTCTGGGACTTATCCTTCGATGTTCGGATTTTTTGCAGTCAGCTGCCGGCTCAGGGCCACAGGACTCGGAGCGCAAACATCGGCTCTTTTCCCTGGGAAAGAAAACTCACCAGTCCAGGTTCCTGATGTCAGTTTGTAGGGCTCCCCTGGGACTGTCAGGGCAGCACAAGTATGAGGTGGGGGCAGCTCCTGTCTGGGACTTATCCTTCGATGTTCGGATTTTTTGCACTCAGCTGCCGGCTCAGGGCCACAGGACTCGGAGCGCAAACATCGGCTCTTTTCCCTGGGAAAGAAAACTCACCAGTCCAGGTTCCTGATGTCAGTTTGTAGAGCTCTTTTGGGACTCTCAGGGCAGCACAAGTATGAGGTGGGGGCAGCTCCTGTCTGGGACTTATCCTTCGATGTTCGGATTTTTTGCGGTCAGCTGCCGGCTCAGGGCCACAGGACTCGGAGCGCAAACATCGGCTCTTTTCCCTGGGAAAGAAAACTCACCAGTCCAGGTTCCTGATGTCAGTTTGTAGGGCTCCCCTGGGACTCTCAGGGCAGCACAAGTATGAGGTGGGGGCAGCTCCTGTCTGGGACTTATCCTTCGATGTTCGGATTTTTTGCGGTCAGCTGCCGGCTCAGGGCCACAGGACTTGGAGCGCAAACATCGGCTCTTTTCCCTGGGAAAGAAAACTCACCAGTCCAGGTTCCTGATGTCAGTTTGTAGGGCTCCCCTGGGACTGTCAGGGCAGCACAAGTATGAGGTGGGGGCAGCTCCTGTCTGGGACTTATCCTTCGATGTTCGGATTTTTTGCACTCAGCTGCCCGCTCAGGGCCACAGGACTCGGAGCGCAAACATCGGCTCTTTTCCCTGGGAAAGAAAACTCACCAGTCCAGGTTCCTGATGTCAGTTTGTAGGGCTCTTTTGGACTCTCAGGGCAGCACAAGTATGAGGTGGGGGCAGCTCCTGTCTGGGACTTATCCTTCGATGTTCGGATTTTTTGCGGTCAGCTGCCGGCTCAGGGCCACAGGACTCGGAGCGCAAACATCGGCTCTTTTCCCTGGGAAAGAAAACTCACCAGTCCAGGTTCCTGATGTCAGTTTGTAGGGCTCCCCTGGGACTGTCAGGGCAGCACAAGTATGAGGTGGGGGCAGCTCCTGTCTGGGACTTATCCTTCGATGTTCGGATTTTTTGCACTCAGCTGCCGGCTCAGGGCCACAGGACTCGGAGCGCAAACATCGGCTCTTTTCCCTGGGAAAGAAAACTCACCAGTCCAGGTTCCTGATGTCAGTTTGTAGAGCTCTTTTGGGACTCTCAGGGCAGCACAAGTATGAGGTGGGGGCAGCTCCTGTCTGGGACTTATCCTTCGATGTTCGGATTTTTTGCGGTCAGCTGCCGGCTCAGGGCCACAGGACTCGGAGCGCAAACATCGGCTCTTTTCCCTGGGAAAGAAAACTCACCAGTCCAGGTTCCTGATGTCAGTTTGTAGGGCTCCCCTGGGACTGTCAGGGCAGCACAAGTATGAGGTGGGGGCAGCTCCTGTCTGGGACTTATCCTTCGATGTTCGATTTTTTGCAGTCAGCTGCCCGCTCAGGGCCACAGGACTCGGAGCGCAAACATCGGCTCTTTTCCCTGGGAAAGAAAACTCACCAGTCCAGGTTCCTGATGTCAGTTTGTAGGGCTCCCCTGGGACTGTCAGGGCAGCACAAGTATGAGGTGGGGGCAGCTCCTGTCTGGGACATATCCTTCGATGTTCGGATTTTGTGCAATCAGCTTCTCGCTCAGGGCTGTAGGGTCCTGAGCACAAACTCAGGCTTTTCTTTCCAAGGTTGGGCAATCACTTTGGCTTCCTAATGCAAACAATGACTGACCTGATTAGTACAACACCCTCACCCTGGGTTGGTGCCCTCTGCCACTGATTTGAACTGTCTGCATCTGAAACGAAGTTAGGACTAATGTCAAACCTCTACAGGACAACTTAACAGTACCAAACATGTTATGTCAATCTCCTAACACAATCTGGAGCCCAACTACACCCTGCATTACTAATTTCAAGTCCCCAGGACTTGTGCTATTACAGGCTATGCAGCAGGGCAGAGCAGCTCCGGTACAAATATGTGCAGACACCCGTGACACAGGACAGGACATGACAAACCAGGAGACAGAACAGGGAGGGAGAGCTTTTGATGAGAAGAAAGGACTGAGAGACCCAAAGAACAGAGAGTGCACCAGAGACAAGTGACAGGACACACACCGGAACTGCTCTGCCCTGCGCACCTCAGCACTGAGATCAAAACAGACACTTTCCCTTCAGCTGGCCTAAGGAGACGCTTCTTAGACATCCCCGTATCCAAAACTGACTCAAAAACCCCTCCTGGGGACTCCCAACCTGGCACCTCGCTTCCATGCCCTCTGTGGGTTGTAGCCCTTGACTTATCTGGCATATATCTGGGGATCCAAATCTCCATCGGGTGCAGAACGAGGCCTCCTGCCTGTCTGGGAAACTCCAGTTGTCACCAGACTGTTCTCTCTTGGTCTGCCAAGACAAAGAAAACCAAACATCAGTGCACAACCGTAACAGCACAATGGCCAAAACCTGACAATTCTGCTACTCACCATTCTCCTCAGAATGGTCGGGCCACACACCGCAGGCGTGCTTGGAGGCCGACAGCATCATCTCAGGGTACACCTAGATTAAGTGGAGAAAGGGTGACATGGCATTGCTGAAACTTGAGTGGACTCTCACTCCTCCTCCCTACCTCCCTGACTCACCACAACTCCTTGGCCACTGCTCTGGGTTACCAGGATGGGACCTTGAAATGCAAAATCAGTAGGCTTCATCACAGGGTCCTGTAATACTTCCAGAGGACTCACAAGCACAGCAAACCCAGTCCATCAGCCAGCTGCTGACAGGGGATATGCAAACTCCCAGTGGATTCCCTAAAGCACAAAAACAAGAATGGATGCTTACAGTTGCACCAAAAAGTGAAACCTGAGCAAGAACAACTGCTTCTCTCCACTGCTCACCTGGCACACTGGGCCTTGACTGCTGCTATCTGCCTGGACCTCCTAAAAATAAAGGCAAAGAACACCGCTGTAACAGAGTCACCACTTAGGCTGCTTCCCCTGTAAATGCAAACAATGACTGACCAGCTCATGGGAAGTTCTCCACCCAGGACTGTGGCCCTCTGGCACTGATTTGAACTGTCTGCATCTGAAAGGAAGTTAGGACTAATGTCAAACAGCTGCAGGACAACTCAACACCACCAAACATGTTCTGGTAATCTCCTAATACAATTTGGAGCCCAGCTGCACCCTGCATTACCAATTTCAAGTCCCCAGGACTTGTGCTATTACAGGCTATGCAGCAGGGCAGAGCAGCTCCGGGACAAATACGTGCAGACACCCGTGACACAGGACGTGACAAACGAGGGGACAGGACAGGGAGAGAGAGCTTTCCACAAGAAGAAAGGACTGGGAGACCCAAAGAACACAGAGTGCACCAGAGACAAGTGACAGGACACACACCGGAACTGCTCTGCCCTGCGCACCTCAGCACCGAGATCAAAAGAGACACTTTTCCTTTAGCTGGCCTAAGGAGACACTTCTTGGACATCCTCATCTCTAAAACTAACTCAAAAACCCCTCCTGGGGAGTCCCAACCTGGCACTTCGCTTCCATGCCCTCTGTGGGTTGTAGCCCTTGACTTATCTTGCACATATCTGGGGATTCAAATCCCCATCGGCTGCAGAAGGGGGCCACTACTCCCATCCCCAGGCCATGGACCATACTTATCTTTTGGATGACTGGAAATGCAAATCCACGTTGGACCTGAAATGAGTCTGCCTCGGAGGGGATCTCCTGTTGGCAGATCTCTTTTGGAACATGATCACTCTGCTGAAAAAATGCTGTACTCGACACAGCCTGGAATTACAGGAAGTTGCACTCCTCCTAAAAAAAAAAAAAAAAAAAAAAAAAAAAAAAGAAAAAGAAAAATTAGAGATTACAAAAGCACCACCCCTGAATGCACAACCCCAAATCATGAATTTAAATACTACCTGTGTTCAGTGTTGTTTTCCTCACAGTATCTTCAAAGCCTCTGTTGCATTAGAAGCCCAAAACACCTGCAGAGAACAAACAGAGATAAGCCGAAAGAGCCTCTTCACAAAAATGAGAGGAGAGCACTTACCCCAGTGGATCCCAAAGACAAAATGAAGCCTCTTAGCAAAGGCTGGGGTTAATATACCCCTGATTGGGCTGATTCAGAGCAGCTGTGGCTGTTTGGCTCCTCTGATTTGAGTTCAAGGGGAATAATGGGCTGGATACAGAAGAAAACTCTTCAGGGAAATGACAGCTGCTTCTCTGTGTCACCCTCCAGCTGCCCCTGTCCCCCTCAGCATCTCCCTGTGTCACCCACTGTCCCCTCCCCCTGTTCCTCCCTCAGCTCCCAGCCTCTGTCACCCTCAAACCCCCACAGTGTCCCTCAAGCTGCCCCTCAGCCTCTATGCCATGAAAAGACCCTAAAAAAACATTAAAATGCCCTAAAAACACCCTCATCCTCACTATGTCCTAAAACCCCCACAAAATCATAAAAATAGGCTCAGAATACCCTTAAAATACAATAAAATTACCCTACTTTAAAAAAACCCTAAACCACCCCTAAAAATCCCCAAAGAACCTTTAAAAATCCCTAAACATTCCTAAAAGAGCTCTAAAAATAGCCCCAAAATCCTTAAAACAGACTGATAAGACCCTAAAAACCATAAAACTTCCCTCAAAAAACCTAAAAATACTCTGGTCCTAAGAGTCCTCCACATACCCCCAATAGTCCTAAAAAAGCCCTAAAAATTTTTAAATAGTCTTAAAAAAGCCCCAAGAACACCCCAGAAAAAAAAACCCATAGAAATTCTAATTAGTACTAAGAAAGCCCTTGAAGCACCTTAAATAAATCTTTTAAAAACCCTGAAAATACCCTAGAAGTAGCCTAAAACCTCCCAGAAAGTTCCTCAAGAGCTTCTGTGAGAAAACCCCTCAAACACCCTTTAAAAACACTTAAAAAAATACCTTAAAAAGTGCTCAGTCCCAGACACCATCCATGCCTTTTAATTAAAGTCACTGCCTGCAGCTGCTGGGAGGGTTCTGGGGCTGTCCCAGCATTAGGGTCACTGCCTGCAGCTGCTGCTGGGGAAAACTGGTGTTCTTGGGGTGCTGTTTGGGGTGAGCTTAGGGCTTGTTCACCTGTCACCCTCAGGCACCCTCCACTTTGTCCCTCAAGGCACCCCTTGCCTCTCAGGCTCCATGTGTCACCCTCCAGCTCCCCATTGCAGCCTCTCAGTGTCCCTGTGCCCCCCTTTTTACTCCTACAGACCCCTTCTGCCTCTCAGCCTCCTTGTGTCACCCTCCAGCTCCCCATTGCAGCCTCTCAGTGTCCCTGTGCTCCCCTTTTTACTCCTACAGACCCCTTCTGCCTCTCAGCCTCCATGTGTCACCCTCCAGCTCCCCATTGCAGCCTCTCAGTGTCCCTGTGCCCCCCTTTTTACTCCTACAGACCCCTTCTGCCTCTCAGCCTCCTTGTGTCACCCTCCAGCTCCCCATTGCAGCCTCTCAGTGTCCCTGTGCCCCCCTTTTTACTCCTACAGACCCCTTCTGCCTCTCAGCCTCCTTGTGTCACCCTCCAGCTCCCCATTGCAGCCTCTCAGTGTCCCTGTGCCTCCCTTTTTACTCCTACAGACACCTTCTGCCTCTCAGCTGCCCCCACCCTCTGTGCCACCCTCCAGCCCCCTGCCCTCAGCCCCAGGTCTGTTTGTGACACGGTGCAGCCCACAGATGTCATCCCTGCCTGTTTTATTTTGGTGTTGTCCTGCTGTGAGGGCTGCACTATCCCCACAAGTTTGGGCTCCCATGTGGTGCTGCTAGGAGTCACAGGTGGGTGGTGGGGGGAGTGAGGGATGGGGCAGGATGGGGAGGGGTGAAGGGTGAAGAGAGAGTAGGATGGGGGGGCTGGAAGTACAGATAGGGGTGAGGGGGGGAAGACAGGGACAGAGAAGAACAGGGGTGAGGGAGAAGGTGAGGGTAGCAGGGGGCATCACATATCTGACAGACAAAAGCTGCAGCAGAATAAAATTCTGTTTGCTGAGGCAATGCCAAACACCTGCTGCAAACTGACATAAGAAACCCGGGGAAAAGGGCCGCTGTTCGTGCTGAGGGGCCTGTGACCCTGAGGTGGCAGCTGCCTGCAAAAAATCTGAATGTCGAAGGATGTATCCCAGACCCAAGCTGCCCCTGACTCAAAGCCTTACCCTAAACTGAACCCTAAATCCTAACCGAAACGCAAACCCTAACCCTAATCCTAACCTAACCCTAACCTCAAATAAATCTAATAATAATAATAATACCTCGAAAATTAAACTTAAAAATAAGAATAACCCTAGAAAATGGCGGCGCCCACGGCATGACGTGGCGGGGCAAAGATGGCGGCGCCCACGGCATCACGTGGCGGGGCAAAGATGGCGGCGCTCAGGGTAGTACATCACCGGGTAAAGATGGCAGCGCCCATGGCATCACGTGACGTTGCAAAGATGGCGGCAAATTGCATCACGTGGTGGGAACAAATATGGCGGCGTCTACTACACCACGTGATGGGACAAATATGGCGGCGCCCAGTTAGTCATGATATGAGGTTTTAAATGGCGGCGCCCTCTGCATCACGTGACTGATTCAAACATGGCCGCGCCCAGAAAATCACGTGATCGGGCAAAGATGGCGACTTTCGGGACGGGGTCGATTTTGGCGGTTTTTGGCGGTTTTTTGCGTGCCCTCCGCACGCCCTGCGTGCCGTAGTGCTGTTCCGGTGCACCCGCACCGGAGGACGTCTCGCGAGATTGTTTTTGGAGTGCGGGATTGGTGTCGGAATTTCGGACAGGCGGCTGTCGGGGCGGCTAATGTTTGGGGTCTTTTCTGAGGCACTGGGGGCGGTGCGAGGGGAGGGGTCGGGGCACCGACGCGGTGACGTCACGCGGTGACGCGACGCAGGGGCGGGCCGGAGGGAGGAGTGGGTGCAGTGCGCGAATTGCACCGGCAGGTGGCGCTGCGAGACCGAGGGGTGGGCGCGCTGCCGGCCGGCGGCTGTGGGGGCAGAGCGCCTGTTTGTGCATTTCTATCCTTGTGATGTTGATTTATTAAAATAAAAATATGGATATTGATCTAGTACCGATATCCAACTGTGACGGACAAAAACTCTCTAACAGTTTGAAGTTAGAAAGTGTATGTTTATTCGAGGCCCAGCAGCATGCGGGAGAGTCCCAGATACACACCGCACTTTGCAAGTGATTAAAGAGCCCTTTTATCCATACAAGTACTGAATACCGAAAATACAAATACCAATTAATTTTGGTACATCCCATTCCTTGCTTCATATGCTAATCATTTCAAAAGCTATTAAGCATGAAGTTTGTTCCCTGAAATGGGTCAGTGGTCCCTTTCATGGGGATGAGTCCCAAAATGTGGAAGTAAATGAAGTCTTCCTCGTTCTGGCCTTTCTACCGTTTCAATGCAAATATGACAAATGAACTCTTGGTAGAACTCCCATTCCTTGTCTTCAGCTGATTTCAGAACAGAGGAGGCCCACAATTGTCTTATGTTCCTAAAAGCTATTTGTCAGTTTCTATAATCTTCATTATAAACCCAGCTAACTAAACATTGTGCTGACAGGCAATCAATGAATAGTTAACTACTCACCCTTAACTTTATCAAGGCCTACTCATTTATTTTAATTAACTCTAGTAAGGCTTGTCTCTTACTGAAATCTTAGCTCCTCTAAAATCTCTAAATCTCTTAAAATTTATGTTTCAACATGATGCACTCTTGGTTGTATCATTATTCGTCTGGTGAGCTTGATGGGAACACTGGTTGCTGCATATTGCTACTGCTACCTGCCAGTTGGATCGCTAATTAGGGGCCCTATATCTATTAGGAAAAAGAAGAAAAACTGTATGTCCAGTGCACCAGTAGAAAATTTCAGGCTCCCAGGGATTAAGTAATTTTCTTTAAATAATTATTTAAAGGTTTGGTTGTTGTTTTTTTTTTTTTTTTTTCTCCCAGGGAGCCTCAAAGTTTCTACTGCTGTTTTTTTAAAGCTAGAAAGGAAAGCAGAGTTAGACATAAAGGTATAAATAGAGAGAAACAAAGGGTTAAAAAAAGTTGAAGTTGGAGAGAAAAAGAGACGGAAATAAAATAACTAGGAAAACAGTGGCAAACAGTGAAAAAAGAAAGAGTGAAAAAGGAGCAGGGTTTGAGTGAAGAAGAAAGAGAGTGAGAGTAGAAAAGAGGAAAAAAAAAGTTAAAGCCAGAGAGAAAAAGAAAGAGTAAAGTATAAACTATGGAGAGAAAAATAGTTGGAAATAGAGAAAGAAAGAAAAAAAAGAAATAGTGGGAAATAGAGAAGCAGAGAGACAGAGTTAGAAACAGTGAGAAACAGAAACA